AATCGGTACGTGGCCCTTGTCCGTAAATCATTCTTGGATCGAAACATTGTGGTGCAGGCTACTGAACTTAATCTGCTACACGATAATAGCTATGATCCTAATCCCCTGCAGCATGTACATCCTATTGGAAATCAAGGACTTTTACAATCAACTAAAGCTCGGCAGCGCGCTCAGCTTTTTTATCATGGCAGTAATAAAATATTGCGCTCTGATTTTACGCGAGAGCAATATTCGCAGGTGCATCGAATATATTAAAGCTGACTGGAATAACGTGAAGTACGCAGAGGACTGGAAAATCATGCTAGAGAACGCGAACTACAGTCGCCGGTTGGTGGTCATCTGCTGTGTCTTTATGTATGGCAGCGTTCTGTTCTATTACGTGGCTGTGCCGCTAACTCGTGCCAAGATCGTTGACGAGAACAGCAATCTGACATATCGACGACTGGTGTTCCCGGTCCCCAAAGTAATTATTGACACCCGACGAAGTCCCATCAACGAGATTTTCGGTTTCATCCATCTGCTTGTGTGGTATTGTCACCCATAATATTACGGTGGCGGCATGTAGCCTGGTAGCTCTCCTCGCAATGCACGCTTGCGGTCAACTGCAGGTGCTAATGTCCTGGTTGAACCATCTGGTTGACGGTCGAGAAGGTGTCAATGACACTGTAGATGAGAGATTGGCGAATATTATTCAACTGCATGTACGCATTTTGAAGTAAGTAAATGTTGTGCACATACCATTCGTCTATAATTTTGAAGTTCAAAAGAATACATTGTATCCTTTTTGTGCCAATATTCATTATTATAATAAATTTGATATTAAGGGAAATTTGTACATTTAAGCAAATAGAATTTGCTTTGCGAATAGATGCTTAATAAAGAGGAAATGTGTTTAAAGTTTATTCTCCGTGTTTTAGCTTCATATCGTTAAGCGAAGAATTACTGCACGAAATATCTTTGGTGGAGGTTATGGGATGTACGTTAAACATATCTTTCCTTGGGTATTATTGTATGATGGTACATATCTCTATTTGATAGTAAATTCGTGACATGTGTATTTGAATAATATATAGAAACACGAATTT